TCCCTACGCATCATTCCACTGCAGTGGTCATGTTTGTCATTCCATCTCACCAATCCTACTCTCACAAATGCTAAGCAGCCTGTGTGTGGCTTGCTGAAACACTCCTCTTGGAGCCCTGAGTCTCCTTTAAAAAAGCCCTTCCACCCTGAAATTCCCTCACTGTGAAGAAGTCCAAATTAACCCAATAAAGTGACTGTAGGCAGGTGCCCAGTGTTACGGGCTGAATTGTGTCCTGTCAAAGTTCACTTGTTGAAGCCCTAATGGTCACTATGACTGTACTTAAAGATAGGCTTTTAAGAGATAATTAGGGTTAAGTGAGGTCAGGGCTGGGTTCTGAGGAAAGGCCAGAGGGACAGACAGCTCAAAGGCACCATCTACAAGTCAGGAAAGAGCCCTTATGAGACCCTGGCCATACTGGCACTCTGACATCAGACTTCCAGCCTCCAGAACGGTGGAAAAATACATTTCTGTTGCTTCCGCCACCAATCCATGGTGTTTTATTATGCAGCCCCGACTGTCTAAGACACTCTGAGACTACGTGAAGAGAGAGATGCCTGGCGAGCTCCTGCATGCTTCCTCCCTGGCTACACCTGCAAGACCCTGAGCCAGAACTTCCCCACTGCTTCCTGCCTAGATTCCTGAGACGCTGAGAGAGAGAAGATGATGGCTGCTGTTTCTAGCACTGCGTTTCCAGGTTATATTTAATGCATCAATAAATAACTGGAATCCTTATTGAGCATAGATTTGTATAAAGGACTAAGAAAACAAAAGTAATATCACATTTCTGTTTATTAATTCAACTGGAAAGTGACATGAGAGCTAAACTTAAATTTTATATCAAAATGGAATAAGGTTATATTTGACTACTGTCTACACAGGTATTTCGAGGACTCTGTAATTCAGAGCGCTCTCATTTAGTAGAGTATGCCTGACATTGCTGACTCCATATTCATTTAAGGCCCTATGTATCCCGCTTAATGAAGGCTCTAGGTATTACATCATGGCTGTCCTATTTCACTTACAGTATTAGAGAAAACAGTAAACAGAATATTTGGATTATATCTGATTTTGTCATTTAGATATGAACAGAATAAGAGCTACCATTTACTAATGTGTCCAATTATAGCAGAAAACTGATAGTGATAATTCTAGATTTAAAAATATATATATATTGCCTAACTATAACTATTTTTTAAAATTTATTTATTTTTTTATATTTTTATTATCATCATAATCTTTTTTATATTACATTGGATTACATATAACTTTACAGTGCATTACATTGCCTTTTCAAAAGGGAATGCCATGCATGCCAGTCAATACAGAGTACTGACTCTCAATGGTGGGTCTCTATGGACATTTCTCAAGAGACCTTTCAGTTGTGGGTGCTTCTGGGGTGAGCCTATTGTCACTGCTTTGTCCTCAGAGATACAGAGTTTTGAACTGTGTACAAAATCAGGTGTGATATGTTCATTGGAGGCTTAATTCTGGCTTAGAGTTCAGTGTGTACTAAAGAGCGTGGCTCTCAATAGTGGGTCTCTATGAACATTTGATTTCCTATCTCACCCTCTGCCATCTCCCACCCTCCTCCCACACTGTGTCTGGTATCTATTGTTGCTTTCTATGCCTCCCCCATTTTATTGTTTCACTAAATATCTTAATAAATCTAAATATTTTCAATAGCAAGCATAGCTGATATATACATATCCATGAACACAAGTCTGACTTTAGACATAAACCTCAGTGAAGAGAATGAACATACTATAAAGTAGCACCTAGATAGGGCTATATAGCTTACTGCAGTCATCAAATAGGTGTTTTTAATGCTTTTTTTTCTTCTGAAAAATTTTTTTATTAATTTACATTCATTCCCTGAGCATCATCACAACATACTAAATGT